ATGGCTTCAAGTCGTAGGTGTTCTTCTAGGCAAGAAGGGTGGAACGCCAGGGGCCTCGTGGCGTGCGGCTTTGACCGGCTTTGAGCACAGCAGGTCCAACCCGATTAGGATTCTGCTTCGGAAACTGTGCGGAAACTGAGGGAAAGAAAGCTAAAGTAATCTTGATCGGAGATTATTGACCGGGCCCCATTTCTCTCACTCAGCTCGCGAAGGCTACGAGCACGAGATTGCGGGGGTGCCTTCCCCTTACCTATACAGTCGTCCCCGCGTCAAAGACACCATTTTTAACACTCCCGCTTTAAGGACACAAAAAATCTCAGAAACATGGTGCCCCGCAGATGTGAACAAGTAGGGGGGGTAGGGTTTTCCACCATTCGACCCCCCCCTAGAAAATGTGCTGCAGCACCTGCAGATCCTGGATCATCAACAGCGGTCTGCTGCAGCCGCACACTGCGTGTGGGAGTATGGAAAGATTCATTCCATCTGCTAGCGGTTCGTCTGCTGCCGGCTTGAAGCCATGCGGCGTACCGACGTGCCAGTTCAAATCTGCACTTTTATTGCCAACGTTCGTTGTTCGCCTTGGGTGAAGTCTCGTGAGGTTGACTCTGGCGTTTGTGTTGTGTTGTGCCTCGTTTTGACCTTTTGGGAGGCGCGGTNTACCGACGTGCCAGTTCAAATCTGCACTTTTATTGCCAACGTTCGTTGTTCGCCTTGGGTGAAGTCTCGTGAGGTTGACTCTGGCGTTTGTGTTGTGTTGTGCCTCGTTTTGACCTTTTGGGAGGCGCGGTGTCCTCTTTGTCGCTGTGCTTTCCCGACATTTTTGATCTCTGTGTTTCTGCGTAACCTACATTTTCCTAGTGTCGTTTTACAACCTTCGATATTTCTCAGGTGCGGTAGCGAGATCTTGGGCAAGATATTCACGGGGAGGACAACGCCTAAAAAAACAAAAAGGCAAATAATTAAGCCCATATCAACACCAGCGCACTACCGTCGTGTACATGTACGATGCGTAGGTCGTAGAACACCATCGCTTTCAGCGTTTTGGTGGTACAGTACGGGGAAATTCAAACGATGGTATGCAAGTATGTATTGCAGCACAATAGCAGCAGTGGTTGCGACCTTCAAATCACCTTGTGTCGTAGATTTCAAACAACACCTCTTGTGGTCGCCTTTTTGCTGCGAATGCGCACCTTTTGACATATGTTTCGCCTTCATTGGCCCCGGGGATGGTGCGTTAGTGGCCCCGGAATTTTAAAGACACTTCCCCGCGTTAAAGACATTTTTTTGGGAGGGGAGACGTGGTTTGTCTTCAGAGCGGGGCCGACTGTACCTCGAAACGTTTTTCTTGGTATTTCAATCGAGGCGACACCGGTACCAAACGCAAGCATTTGGCCCACACAAGCATCCTCTTGACGTCTTTTTAGTGTACACCAAAAACCACTTCCCGTCGTCACAGGCGCCCTGGACACCAAATCCTCGATTTTTTCCCACCACGTTCTCCACAACCGAGCAAGACACAGCCCCATGCTAGCCGTGGCTCGATGCGCTAGGACAGAGTAGGGATGCCCCGCAGGTCTCCGCAACGCTGGTGGCCACCAGAGTGAGCGCGCCTACAACCAGCGTTTGGCCAAATCCGACTATTTCGCTGCCCAAACCATAGTATTCCGCATGAACAACTCCCCAGCCTGCTCACCAATGTCCGCGACAATTTGCGAGTGAACGGCGAACCAGTCGACACAACTCTGTGCCAAGTTTCAAGGCCATCCGATGTGCACGCCACGTGCGAAAGCATATTTTTCCTCCCTGCGGCCGACCTCGTTCCACCAGCAACACTCCGACTTATCAGACCGCGATCTCTCAGCACGCACAAATGCCCTCGACACAAAACTTACATCCATGTGGAGCTAGAACTACACTGTGTTAGATGCCCGTGTCTTTGGTGCACCTCCCTCATCGGATCACGACGTACCAGCAAAGTTTATGCTAGGGGGAGACGCAAATGGCAACGCATGGAGCACGGGGGTAGAAATATCCCGTAACGCGCCCCTTCAGCGGCAGTCGCTGAGTTGCTTCTTGCCCCATGTGCACAACTCGTCCCCAAAACGCTGCAACTGGCCTTTCGGCATCATTTCGGTGTTAATTGGCAAAGTAAGTAGCTCCCGAAAGGGCTACGTGTGCATCAAATCACATTGGGCTCCTCAACGTTGTAGGCGACCAAACGATATGCACCAACCTGCATCGCCCGCATCGTTGATGTGTTGTTTTTGTGCTCTTTCCACCGCTCGTTGGTTGTTGCCCCTTCTGCACAGCTCTTTCGCGAAACGCTACAACGGGCCTTTTGGCATCATTTGGCCGTCAATTACCAAATTACCAAAGACAGCACCTCCCGAAAACAAGCATCGAAAGGGCTACGTGCGCATCCCTTGACATTGGCCTCTTCACCCTTGTAGGCGACGAAACAATATGCACCAACATGCATGACAGCAACCTCACTTTCTTGGAGTTTTTCAAGGTTTTTTGCCCTTTCCACCGCATCTCTCGACCGGAGAGGCAGTCATGCCCACCTAGCCAGCCTCCCACGAGCTACCACATTGCGATACAGCAGTCCTACCTGCATCTAATTTGCACATAGAGTGCCGGCCGTGCTTTATACAGCTCGAGCGTAACTGTGTGTGGACACACTACATTTGTCGGTGCATGTGTGTCTCAACTGACGACACTCTCTGCACTCAAGTAGTACTTTGTTCTATGCATACACGCGCCAGCAAACCTTGTATGTCGACCTTCTAGCTCCGGCGCGGATGTGGAAGTTGTACGCACATACAGTAGGGCATTGTTGAGAGTCTCGTATCCCCGCCCGCCGCCCCCCCCTCCTCGGCCCCACAGGCCCATCTATATTGTCGTGTAGGAAACGTGTGTGCGTCATCATGTGTGCTGCTACGTTTAGATACGGGCATTGTGCAGCGGGCACCTTAGCATACCGAAGGTTATCGCTCATGGAACGCGGCGAGAGTCTGGCATCCCCCCCCCAACCCCCCAACCCCCCTCAGGCCCACAAGCCCCGAAAGTAGGTGTATTGTCTTGTAAGAACGTGTGTGTCATGTATGCTGCTGCCTTTCGATACGTGCATAGGGCACCGGGAACTTGCGCGTAGCGAGCGTTATCGCTCAACGGAGGCGACGGAGCAGATGTTTACGCTTGAAACAACGCGAGGGTGTTCCGTCATTTCTGTGACTTTTCTGTGACTTTTCTTGATGATGCGCCCCAACTCGGGCTTCCGTCGTTGGATTGTACTGTATAGTACAGGGTCCCTCAACAGAAGCGCACGTTTCGCGGCAACTGCGACTCTCTGAAACACAATTTTACAATCAGGTTCTTCTCAGTAGCCTCTGGGGAAGTTGCACCCCGGTTCCCCTTTGCGGTCAGCGTCATCGCAAACGAGAACACAAGGCAAAGTCTCGTCACACCGTCACACACCAAGTTCCAATTATTTCAAAGGATCAAAGGAAAGCGGACCTCCTTTTGGAGGCATCCCTGCATGAGCAGCGCAATTTACAGACTATGGAGCGCACTGAAACACAACGATTATCCCCCACTGCTACCACCACCATCGCCACCGTGGCTGTCTGCAACCTTGTTTTGGTGATGCCGAACGAAATTCGCCATGTGTGTCGTGTCGGTTTACACACAGGTGGGTGTGGTTCCCGGCGTAATTTTCTACTTCCCCGACAGTACGGGGATAGACCCAGACCGTCCCCTGTTACGTTTCGCCATCTGCAAGCGTCGTGACACCATCGAAGAAGCGGTTCGTCGGATCCGAGAGGTGGATCTACCTGCCCCCAAATGAGCTACCTGATAGGTTTGTCAGGAATGAATAAGAGGGAGAGGATGAGAACGGTTTTGCCTTGATGCCGGGCCGGATAGCGGCGGCGACGTACTAGGTGTTGTTCAATGGCAACTCTTTAACAGTGTTGCTGGTGGTAGCCACTTAGGATAGAAAGAAATAGAAGCGACACTCGGGAAGAAATGATGACTGCCATGGGGTCTTGCGTCAATAATGAACTATACTGGCATGATACTTTGTTTTTATAGGAATATCAGCATTGCCTACCCGAGACGAAACCGTGGTTTCCGGATCGTTCCCGGCATTGAACATTATATATTATGTACAGCAGTACTTGTTGATGTGGTGTGCTCGTTCACATCTGTGAACACGGACGAGGCACATTGAATCGCGGCGGCAACAACGAATGGATCAACAAGAACGAAGTGTTTACCGTTCCTCAACGTTGTTCTCTCTTCGAATTTCTTCATTGACCAATACAAGTAGTAGATCCTTCTGGGATTCCTAGGCCGCAGATTATTTCTTTGCCTTCATCATCTTCCTGAAATGGGCGAAGCGACCGACGAACCCCCCGGTTGAGACAAACTCAGAAGATCGCGAAGAAACGAATCGATTCGCCGCCAGTCGGTCGGAGTACGTCACTCCTGATCGCCTTCTCTTGTCTACCAGGTAGCAAGCAGAAACAGGCTTGGTGGGGAAATGACCGTTTTAGAACAGGGGCAGATGCCCCAGATCTCTCAAACGTCTTTCGACGACAAATTCCTTCCCTCTAGTCGGTTGTTTACGCCCCCGGGGTCGAATTTTCGCCAAGGATCCCGTAACACTTTTCAATTCTACCAGGTTGCGGGTAACGGGTGGTATTCCCCAGCCCACGGGGTTGCGGGTAGAAGTTCCAACTTTCTTGTCGAACGGATCAACATACCCTCGGAGCAAAGACGTTATCTCTCGTAGCCTTAATATGGATTTTTTCGGTAGGGTCGCAGTTGATGTCCTATACCTGGGACCCACCGCCAGTGCCTTACACGGTGCATCGGCTGGAGCAAGCGGAAACGCTCAGACTGCCCCCTGTCCTATGCCCAGGCCCTCATCCAGGCAGACTGCGAGGAAACCATCGAGGCCACCGTGCGCAAACGGAAACTGTTTCACGGGCTTTGTTATGCGCATGGAGGACAACCGCCTACCCAAGCGCATGCTGTTAGGAGCGATGGCGGGGGGGGTGGGATACCGGGGCGGGCATGAGAGCGACGGGGTGTCTCGTCTAGGCGAGGACCTCGTGGTCTTCAACATGGGAGACGAAAAGGAGGGGGGTGAATGGAAAGGGAGCGCCAAGGACCCGGAGGTGTGGTACAACAAGGTCGAGGACGGGGCGGCATGGTTCATGAGGAAATGGCACAAGCAGAGGCGGAAGCGTCCGCGAAGCGCCAGCGCGCGAGGGGAGCAGAAGCAGAGAGTACGGCCATCTCAGGACCGAAGAGAAAGAGAGCCGGGGAAGCGGCGGTGGGGGGGAAGAATCGGCGACCGGGCACTGCTGCAGAAGCGAGTAGGGCGGCCGAGGCAGCACTTGTGGCGAACTATTTTTTTTCATTTTTTTTTTTTTGTGTCTCCCATCATCGGATTCTGTCGTCTGCCCCTCTGGCCCCTATCCTCCACTTCTACTAGCTAGACGACCCAACCGGGGTCACATAGGAGGGGGGGGCTGGACCCCCTCCTGCGGTGCCTGCCTGAGGTATTTTTATCGCGAGAAGGGTACAGCAATCCCTTCCCTCGCGACTTACGAAGTCGATTATGGTTTACTAACAACGAGCTTTGCAACGCGTCGCTTTCATCCTAGACCAGGATTTATTTAGTGAGAAAAAAACTCACTCTGCCGGGACTCGAACCCATGACCTGGCCCGTAGCAGGCTGCGAGGTTACTCACTAGACCACCGGGGCGACCGGTAGTATGTACCCGGCTGATATTGTTGCGCCTTGTTTCCCTCCCTGCTGTATGCTATACCCCTTCATGTAAGTCCTTTGTATTGCCTTCGGCCTCTGTGCTGTGTTTCTTTTTTTCATGACCTTCCTGCCTACTCTGCTGTGTTGGGTACTTTGATCTGGCTTTGCTGTTGACTTTGCTTTTGTACGTCTGGCTGTCTGCCCATCTACCGCCTCTTTGTCCTGTTTGCTCCGTTACTCCCATGCCCTGGTGCGTAGTGCCTGGTACTGGTGCGTTTACCCTTTGATTTTTTCGTTGGGCGGGTGTGGGAAGCGTCCTCCTTTTTTTTTGTTTTTGTTTAATTTTGATCGGTTTCCGAGGGCTTTTTCTCGAACGGTCAGTGCGATACCTGTTCTTTTCTTTCTATCATTTTATTTTCTTCTTCCGAGTGGTTTGTACCCTATTTTTGCTTTGTTTCCCCGCGGCGTTGTATGTGCCGGGTTTTGAGACCACGGGCTCCCCATTTTTTGTGGACTATAGAGCTAATGTGAGAAACAACAACAACCTGCGCACCTGGGAGACCTACCTGAAAACCTCCCAACTTGATGCTTAAATTCATAACAGCGTTTGTAACTTCGAGACACCGGCCTGTGACAGCATTCAAGGTGGCCTGACATTGGCACGGAACACACCCACCGCTCGAGAACCAAGCACCACCATGCAATCCTTTCGCTCCTCTCCTACTCTCTCAAGGATGAGACAACGGAAGAGCAACAAGGTTCCAATCTATCACACACCATTTCTGCGTCCTAACCGTACAACATACCCAGCACACCACCATACCACCAAACTATGTGGCCAACCAAGCCGAGCACCCTACCGCTGCCCCCCGCTGATGCATTGTGGCCATTGTGTCCATCTTTCTTGCACCCCCCCTTGCTTCTGCCTACCTACGGCGTGTGCCAAGGCCGAGCTCCCTCTGCTGCTGAAACGATCCGGAATGTATCCATAGCATCCAAACGGTCATCTCACACCCCGACGGCCTCAGCAACAAAACCATGCTACAACAGCATTGGTATCGCAGCTTTCCTCAGGCAACCGTACTGGTCCTCTTAGGAGATTTTCGTGTATTTGTGTATAGAGCAGTGAAGAGATGAAGATAAGCACAAAAAGGAGTGATAAGTCTTGCATCCTGAAGACGACGGTCAGTGCAAGGAAAAAGCGGTAAGTACAGACCTAGTTTAGATGGACAACGGGTAATACTCAGTCTGATGAAGGGGGAACAGGCGAGGATAAGATTTTCTGTGCTGCGCGCAAACCAAGGCGAATTGGGTTGCTACGAAATTTCACGGTCGGGGAGAAAGACAACGATAGCTGTCGGCCCAAGGCAACGAGCGATCGATGGAGAGCGTGCCATTGAATGCATATATATGCATTGGTCGCACACTGCTGGCCTATGCAGGATGTTTGCACATCGGCGCAACGTGAGCGCTTTTTTCGTCGTATCACGACTTGTAGGCAATAGGTCGCGTTAACAACGCAACTCAGCCCATACACACACGCTTTCTTTCATGGCCTAACCCACCACTGAAATTAATGGACAAGATGCCGTTGGTTGCTGCCAAGCGGACACTGAATTTTTTCCGAAATAGATTGGCGGACGACAAAGAACAAGGGCGGTCAAGACAGGAAGACGGCCAACCGGTGAAAAGGTGAAGATGAGAGAGTGAACAGCACGGCGCATGGTCGTATATGGTGGCAATCTTGTGGCGTGTGGTACCAGCGCTGCGCACAGCCCAAAAAATAGTCGGGGCCCCGCAAATTCGCGGGGTTCCGCAGATTCGCGCACCTGCAGAAAATGGCAAGAGATCTGCCGCCGCCTACCCCACCTAGCGCAGGCGACAGAGGGAGCAAGAGGCCACAAGGGAGGCAGACGTCTGACCAGGTGGGCTTTGAATCACACTGGGACTACTGGACAACTTTTGTTCTGACTTAGAGTTAGCGCCACGAGGAGATATTCGGAGATTGCCGTGAGCGTACCACCACGCGATGCCGCCGCACACAACCCACCGGGGTCCTTGTGCTCACCTCCCAGGAAGCGCTGCGACCGTGTTGCAGAATACAGCTGGTCATTCAGTGTGGCAAACTCAGTTGGCTATCTAGCACAGAAAGTTTCAGGCAATTCCATCCTGAGGAAACTTAGCTTGGCCGTGTTGAACATTGAAAATCTTGGCGGCGGCGGGGGAACATGCGCAAGCTCT